AAAAAAAAAAAAAAAAAAAAAAAAAAAAAGAGACAGAGAGGAAAAGCAGGGCAAAGCGCAACTTGCTTTTGGTTCGCCAAATTTCCATCAGTTACCTAGCCCCTATGCCATACATACCGACCCCGTAACTTCCACCTCTTTCGGGCAGAGGAGTTGATATTTTCGACACATGATCCTACGATCCAGCGTTAGTCAAGGCAAAACATTCTAGGATCACAGACTATACCTTCTTCCGTTTCTTCTTGCTAATTCCTTCGCTATTGGAATAAAATGCGCCATCATCATCGTCGTCTGCGTAGCCTTCGCCGTAGCCAACAAAGCTATTGTCATCGTAATGCCTCTTGCGTCCCCGACTGGGCCGAGCCCGCTCCGGCTCAGCTGCAGTGGGTGTTCCATTTGCCTGACTGGGCACTCGTGCGCCATTGGAAGGTGTCGCAGCCTTCTTGCTACCATCCCCACTTCCAGCATGTTTCGACTGCTTTTCATGGCCAAGAATATCTTCCCAATAATCGTTGTTCGTAACTGTGCCCGGCTCCATTTTCATGGCTCTCATCTGAAGGTTATACAACGCTGAATCCATATCAGCAACCTTGATCTCTTTCCCGAACACCTTCTGGTTTTGCCACTCTTCTTCCGGCCACATCGTCATGTATCTCAGCCCACCGGCCATACCGGGTTCCTGCTTCACAGGTTTGTTTCTCCCAGCTAAGCCTAGGCCTTTCAGTTTGCCTTCGTAGGACTTTCTTAGTCTGTTGATTTTCTCCCCAGTTACCGGATCCATCCTTGCAACCGATTTCGCAACCGGACCAAGCCCGTACAAGGAAACAAGATCATACGACGGGTCCGGACCAGTCGCAATATGGGCTGTAGATTTCATAGCACAGTGTTAACATATCTCAATCCAAGAAATGATGGACCAGAGTGCATTATGAAAACGGCAACAGCCGCACCAAGGATTGGTATTGGGGAGCTCTTACAGCTTTTGCAAAGATGGAAGGCCGACGTAAACTCTTTTTGCAGAGATTCTAAACTTGATTCATAGTTAGATAGATCCGCCGTTCCCTTGTCGATATCCATGGCATCGCCATGGTTCAGCATATCCTGGCCGCGTGTGTTTCCAAAATCGCGGATTCCGGTTTGCGCACTTGGCCCTTCCGACTGCCGATCATGGTCTGTCCGTCTGTATTCTGTCTGTTGCATGGGCGCATTCAGATCTGTGGTGGATGTCGCCCCCATTTCCGGCCCGAATGATTTCTCTGTCTGTTCGCTATCATCAACAGGCGTTGCCCCCGTGAAGTGACCGTTCACACTGCTAGCCGGTGTCGGGAACGAATTCGTTGTACCTACTGTGGGTTGCTGTGAGGCTTGGGTAGACATCGGCACGGAAGAAGGTGGCGAGGAGAGGTTTGCAGGTTGTGACGTTGCCTGGCCAGGTGACGTTTGCGAGGATGCGAAATTGGAGGCATAGTTCTGAGCGCTTACCGACATCAACGGAGGAGATGTCGGGGTTTGTGGGGTGTGTTCGGTTGAGATATAAGAAGGGTGGTTCGCTTTTAAAGACCCAGTGGCGGGAGATGATGGCGAAGGAGGCCCTAACCGGAATGACGCCGAGGAGGCGCGATCGGACATGGGGTCCCGAGTGAAGGTTCGGAGGAAGGAGATTGATCAGAGCCTGAGCAGCTCTGAGTCCTGCAGCCTCGAGAGGAGGTCTATATCACAGACTCTCAACCCAAGGGCAGATCAAAGCAGATCTAGGCTATGAGGGGGGGCTGAAATCACGCCGGTCGAGGTTCGCTCAGGCGGGCGAGCAAGACGTTCCACAGCCGTCTAATATGCACACATTCCAATGATCCGATTCTGAGCGCTACCAGAATGTTGTCAAGCAAGCGTTTCGATGAGCAATATAAAAGAGTGGAAGGCGAAACTCGGCGATGGTGGAGTGAGCGATGGCCCTTTGGTCCGCACTGGAAGAGAAACGGACGGCTTTGAGATGTTGGATGACGGCAAGAGACCGGAAGTGCACGTGACCGAGCCCTTTTTCAAGGCTTGTAACTTACGATACCTGTCAATACGATTTCGATCTTTCAATCTTTGCTGGATTCAATTGGATTTTACTATCAACCGCTAAGGAAGTTAGCGGCGACTTGCATCCAATTAGCATTTCCTTGTCGCTACTCTGTACAATGTTCCAGGGTTGTTTCAATGGCACCGTTGATGCCATTCACCTTCTCAATTTTCGCTTTCAATCTTCTTCAACACCTGATATCTATTTCAGAAGGACAAGAAATATATATATATATATATATATATTTTTAAAAAAACGAGAGAAAACGGGTATTTCCCGTACTACAAAACGCAGGCCGTTACAGCCTCCTGAAACCCCAGCCACTGCTTACCGCTGGTGATCCACCTTTTACCACTTCGCCTCCTCTATTCGTATTCCATCGTGCTATTACAATGAATTATTCCGGTCTGAGTATACCATGATAGCTTCAACCCATACTGAGGAAATATTGAACATACTCGAGGTCTAGGGAGCAATGTCAAAAAGTAGTTCTGTAGACTTTAATTCCTCCATATCTTAACTGTATATCACCTGAGAGACTAAATCAAAGCCAAACTAGCACCAAACACCAAGCTACCGTATCTCGTAAGCCCTTTTTTGAATAATCGCCCATGGGTATATCTACATTCATGTATCAAAACAAAGGCCGCTGCACGGGAAGAACCGCGGCGACTCTCGCAATAGCAAACATATTGTGACTTAGTTGTCAATTCCCCAAACCTACTAGGACTGGTAAAACGTTGCAGACTCCCGCACAAGTTGGGCTGACACATCAGGAATATTCTCTTCCAACTTCGCCATGAGCTCAATCTGGTCATGTTGACTGAGCGTCCGCTCACGCCACGATGGAATAGGGTATGCCCCATTGAAATATTGCGAGTATTGATTTCCAATAGAGTCCATCCAATTCATAGGATCAACAGTCGCTTCAACATACGCAAGGTGGCTTGCTGTTGTAGAGGCAAGCGTAAAATCAGGATCCCAGCCTTGCAAACCGGGAACAACAGAGGGAAACTGATTGTAGGGCGTGGTTGGGTCGAACTGTCCATCAGAGCAAGCGACAGTCGTTGGGTTGAACGATGAGGTGGTATATGGGGTCGGCGTTATGCTTGAGGAAGTAAGCCGTTGGGTCTGCACTTGAGAGTCCCACAGGGGATACGGGGCCAGTTTCATCGGTTCCGAAGGAGGCGAGGTGGTTGAGAATGGGAACGTCGGATCTGCAGAATGCCCTCTTGACAATGTGCCCGAAGACAAACTGTCAGGAATTGAGGCATTCATGCCCCGGATGTTCTGAGAAGGGAATGACATTGTGGTACTTGCAGGACTTGAAATGGATGGCGGCGTCGCAACTTCCTGCGACGATGCCGGTGTTGTATGATTGGACGGAGATTGGACGACGAATGATTCATGAGTGTTGTATGCTTTGAGACATGCCGCGACAAGGCTCTTATATAGAAGTAATGCCGATGCAACGCCGGGCCATCTCTCTGCAGCAAGCACGATGGCCTCTAACGCTATATCAAGGTGGCCCTTGACTTCATCTACGGGATGCTCCCTTCGAATCTCAGGATATGACAGGGACCAAAGTATGGTGTTCAACGCCATAAAAAGGGATTGAGTGAAGATCCAAGTCAAGTCGACCGATTTAGTCGCAATCTGCTCTCGTTGCATTGCCACATTGAAGACGGACGCCTCGTAGCATTTCTGCGCAGCGCTGACAGAAGGCTCCGGTACCTGAGGGGAGGGGCGAAACATGAAAACGATCATTGTATTCCGCCTGCCATGAAACCTGTAATATGGTAAGCAAACGACCAAAAAAAAAAAAAAATCTCAGGGTGGTGTCCTTACCACTTCTCACTCAAGCCACTTCCTCCGTCGTTTTTCGGACAAGAGGCCACCCAATAATCAAGTTTATTGAGCATTTGCTGGAACCATGGATCTTGATCATCAACAGGAGCATCGCGCTTATTGAGGTAGAGAGTGCGTCTTATCTCCAGCTGTAGTAGTCGCATCTTGAAAAAGTGTATTGCGATACACTTAGGTAGTATTGGTTTCCCTCCTGGAAGGATTCCGTCTGGGGTAATAAATTTGTCATCTATGAGTTCAAAAAATTTGACACCCATATGATCGTGGCTGACAGAATAGCAACTGGGCCGTCCAAGACTATGGGATAGTCCAAATTCCATGGAGGTGACGATCCAGAAGAGTCGCCTCCGCATGTCTATTTCCAAGGGATTCAACAGTTCTCCACTGGGCGACTTGGTGATTGTAGCTTCGTCAGTAAGTCCCAGATCTTGACATAATTTGACGGCTATTCCAACGACCCAATACGCGGCGGTCCTTGTCGGGGTTAACAAAGAATATTGGGCAATCAAAACCAGACACTGCAAAGCCCTCAGGTCCATCCGCCTCAGAGAGGCTTCTAGAAAGGGTAGCGCGGCAAGGTAATAGCTGTCGGCTAATCCTGCATAAGCAGTACTCATCTTTTGCATACTAATGGCAATCACCATTCGTAGTTGGAAATTTTTGCACGGATCATTAGATCCGTTGAAAACATCTTCGACCTCCTGGCGGAACGTGGGCTCGTGCAATGTTGGGAGCATCGCTTGCGCTAGCGAGATGTCAGCGTGCAAACAAACACTTTGGAAATGGAGATAAGCAGGAAAGGGCAAAAGAAAATTTGATGGGCAATGACATACCTTTGACCACAAACACATCAACAAGTCTGTAAGTGACATACTTCGCTGGGAGGCTCGGCTGCGGGTTTGAGCTAATGATGGGGTAAACTTTCGATGTTGGCTTAGAGCTTTCCTGCTCAAACGCTTGCTTTATTTCGTGTGCCGTTAATTCGGGCACAACATCCTTGATGCTCTTTGAGTCTGTATTCTGTTTGGCCATCTCCATAACTAAGCGAGTAATCGCGATGCCACTCGACGGTCCTAAAAATCTTGACTCGTCATTTTCCTTGAACCGAATGCGACCAGCTCCCCGAACCATTAATTCTGCATCGGCTGCATGCTGGAATTCCTTCTCGGCCTCTTCCAGCTCCCTTTCCAACGTACGGGCTTTCTCACGTAGCGAAACGATGTACGTCCTTGGTATGGTACACTTTCGGGCGGAGTCGAAGTACACGCATTTTGCATTGCTGCGCTCACAGGGGGAGCACCTTGGTATCCCGGGATCACACCTAGATTTGCGCTGCACTGGTCTCAGTCTGACTGTCCCTACCTTAGAAATAAGAAGGAGAGAACCCGATTAAAACATACTTGTCGGCATCTAGTACAGGCAGTCAATGTGTGTGCAATGCGACCATCAGGTATTTCGTCTGATTGACCAGGCGTCTTCGATGAGGGACTCCTCCAAGGATTTGTGAACTGTGGCTTTGTATAGGATGGGTTTAGCTGTGTCGCCATGGTTGGTAACGGGCCGAACAGTCCCCAACTCGGCTGACCAGAGGTTGCTTGCTATTGAGTAGTGACGATCGAAGCCAACATTCCATGCGATCACATGAGATCAAGTCTGTGCACGCAACAAGGCAATTCAGACCAATCCCGAAGTGCGAAGGTTTGTGAAACAATGGCAAAAGGTCGGGGATAACAAGGCTTTCGACATATTCAGGAATCGTTCCAACGTGGCCTAGCTGCGAGGGGGCATCTGCGACAGTGTCACCAGAAGAGCATGGGCGATTTGGAAGGACCGAAGGTTTTGGAGTCGTTTCTATGGCTAGTTCTCGTTCCGATCTGTCGAGTCCATTCAGTTTAGCATCCAAAAAAGCCCCATGCAGGTAACAGGAGGCTAGGAGGTAGTGGACTGAGAGGCGAAACCTCGGTCCAGTCCCGCTAGGATCGACAAACGCGCTAAATGAATGAATGACGGACTACGGAACGCGAGAATGACCAGTAAGGAATAAGGCAAAAAAGAGAGAGAGAGAGAAAAGAAAAGAAAAAAAAGGGAGGGACATTTGGTCACGAGGAATGCTTACAGTAGCATCTTTGTCTTATTGGCAGCGAACACATTCAGCCAGATCAACAAAACATGAAGCTAGTAGGTTGATATATTCTTTTCATATCTGGACGGCAAGCTCGGTATCCGTTACAATATCATAATTGCCCGTAATGGTTACACATTTGATTGTCGAATCATCATTACAACAGCTCTCGATTTACGATTTTACCAATATCTGTGAGTAAACTAGAGAAGAGGTAGGATGTGCACAAGACCATGAGTCTAAAATCTTGTAGAGTGTAGTACCTGCATAGTTTTCCTTTGAGAAATCGGGAGTATGTTTGGTAGGGGGAGGCATGTTGAATGAAGCTGAGAAGTGGATGTTCGATGCTTGGCCCCGGTGGGGGGGGGCACACCAGAGTAAAGGTGGGGTGAAAATTGGAGGGGGGAAAAGGATCTGAGAACTTCCTGCCAATGATAATTGTAATCGCCTGATTGCCTCTTGACTACTGTACCCTCTTACTGTTATCTTACCGTTGAAGATACGTGACTGCTCCTTACATTACTTTCAGTTAGCCACAAAATACCCGCCTTACTGATGCGCCTGAGGCTCCCCTCCAATTGATCCTCTGGACCCCCCCTTCTCTCTCAGCATGCACCATTAACCTTAAGAAGCATTTGACTTGAAAATCTAAAACTTAGAGCTAACCTGACTTGCTAATTTGATTGACCGTGTCAGTGCGCCCCCCTCCCCATCAGATAGGCGGCTATGCCTAGTCTACATTCTCTATACCCCTTTGTTTCGGCCGTTTTGACTGATGTCTTCAGATGGCAGATTCGGTTATGCTGATCTATTTATGAAGGATAACTTTTGATATACCCCCCCGGTGTTATGCTTCGTTCTCTGTTTGCGACATCCTTAGCTTTTGATATATGTAGGTAAAATTATCTTCCAACCGTACGTTGTAATCGCGAGCCGTGCCCCACGCCATGACCAAAGTGTGCACATAATGAGATCGACTTGCTCTTGTCTTAAATTATGACTAACCGATGTTTAGATAATATGTACCAATATGACGTCTAGTGCTTCTTTTCTGGATAAGCCACTGCTCAAAGTCAGCCGGCCAGTGGCCGCATGTTCAAGATGTCGGACGGCCAAAATTAAATGCGATGGGAAGCTGCCTGCCTGCTCCGCATGTGAGCGAGTAGGAAAGGCGAGTACTTGTTCCGGCGCGAGTGATGAGTTCGCTAGAGGAAAAGAGAGGAGCTATGTTGCTTCTTTGGAAGGCTACTGCGAAAGACTCGAAAGGAAAATCGCTGACCTTCGTCGCCATAAAGAGTCATTATCCGTTGATGGAACCGGCTTCGTCCGGGAGAGCTCAATAACATCGATGTCGTCTGCAGGCACCGTTGGGCAGGCTCACCGAAAAGAGATATCTGACATCGACGACCTAGTTGGAGATTTTGGCTTTCTGTCTGTGGCTCGGATCCCCGGTAAATGTATTCGCTGACAACATAACTAGATCTGTGAACGCCACCTCCAGAGACTTTCATGGAATTCAATCTGATACTTCGTTTGCAAATCTACTCCTATCACTTTCTCTCGCTGAGCCTATCCCGAAGATACATTCACAGTCACTGCCGGCACGCCATGAGATTACACCACTTCTGCAACATTACTTTGATAGTTTGTTCACTCAAATGCCTTTCTTCAGCGAGACAACTTTCTGGACTTCTGTGGATACTGTTTATCAGGCTGGAGGTCGTTTTGCCAAGCCGATTGACCATTGGTTTCTTCGTTTGGTGCTAGCAATCGCTTCTGCATCTATATCTCACCAGAGCGGGGATAGTAGTCATCAGAGAGCTTTATCTTTGATTTCGGGGGCTTTGCCGTTCGCCGAGGATGTTCTTCGCCCTGGATCTATTGTGGGCATTCAGGCCATACTACTGCTTGCCCAGTATTCCCTCCTTGATCCTAAACATTTTCGCGTGTGGTATCTCGTAGGAATGGCCGCCAGGGCCTCGGTGGATTTAGGTTTACACCAGGACCCCCCTTCGGAGGTTCTGCCGGCCGATGAACAATTGGATATGCGTCGGCGCGTGTTCCACTGCGTTTACTGCATGGACAGGTTTGTTCTTCACTGTCCTGAAAGATCTTCAAATGGCTAACTTGTATGTGAAGGAGTGTGAGCACTGCTTTAGAGAGAACTTTCTCATTATCGGATGACTCTATGAATGTCGCCCTGCCACCCACATCTGGGTCTGCGATGACAGGAAAGAGTCATATCTTCTTACACAGTTCGAAGCCTGCGTGGAAAATAGTCGAAATTAGGGAGATCTTATCCTCGGCTTATCAGACAAAATATTTCAATATAGATGGCTTGTCTTTAGAGTCGACATGGGTACTATGCTCAAGAGCTCGGGAATGGTTCGATAATGCACCTACGAATGTGCCGAACTATTTCCCAATACTCTACAGGTCAGAGCTGCTATATACCACAATCATCATACTTTCACCCACGCAGGATTACTCCAGATTATGTGATTACGGAAAAGTATTACTTTTCGATCGTTGCATACAGTACGCCGCCGAACTTCATCACATTCTGGAGACACAACACTGGTTGCCTTTAATGACCTCTCTCGATATCCGACGAATATATCAGGTTAGCCGGCGACTTGTGGACATCCTACAGCAAAATTTCGAACTCGTCCTGAGCCCCTCAGTGCCCGTTCTTCCCTCTGTATTCCACGACATTACAAAACCGCCCATGTTGGAGGCCTGTAATACTGTCAACTGCCATAGTCGTGCCATTGAATGCCTAGATCACATCCAGAAGTTGCTACAATTTGGCGCGGTGAAGTGGGAACTCAACAACCTTCCCGAAGGTTTTCAACAGGACTCAGCATCTGTTTGGAAACAACTGATGGATACACCCGTTGCTTACCTCCCGGGACCTGGTGCCTACATGGCTGGCCCATGTGCGATTCTACCTGGTGCGGGGACTGTGTATTCTGACCTGACTCTAGGGCATTATAACCCTAATGCCCCGTGAAGGACCGCCCAAAAAGTTTCCTTTTCCTATTCTTTCTCTTTGTTGGTTGCTCAATATTGCTCCCTAGTTTTGGTGGCAAGGTCACACAATCATGATTTCCTCCCTTCGAGCTGTCGTGTGGAGCTCTTCGCCTACCGTGAAAGCCCTAAGTCCCTGACAATCTCACTGTTTGGGCCCGACTTTTAAGCCTTGATTGACATGTTGATCCTTATCCTCTTCTTTCATCCTTGTCCATTTTTACAAAGCAACTTAGTCACTGTATGGTGCGGAATGAGTGCGATGCAGCAGGTGAAATTCAGCAGATCCTCGTGAGTGAACTATCACATGCGTTTCAGGGGCTTCTGTAGGGAATTTAAGAATCAGGGAGTCAGCTGTTACAGTATGTGGTAATATTAAGGGTCTGCAAAGCGTATAGTCTTCCCCCGTTACTCCCTCACTTCCTGCGCCCCAACCCCTTTTTTGCTTTAGCTATACTTCTTGTATGTGTGGGAGTATCGGAGCTCTCGTATTCCCAGTCAATCAATAAACCCCATACCTACTCTTCTGTACAGGGCTCAGGTGCGCGGTCTCAAACACCCCTACCACAGGACCAAATCAATGTACTCCATTCCAAAGTCATGGATGCTTTGCATTAGAGTACTGGCTTAACATAATGTCGCTTTGGTTCATTGCGTACATTTCCAGCGCTTGCCTTACTATTCTGACATAGTTTCTTCGCAGGGGTAGTTGCCATGGATAGAGGAAACCCTCCATCGCAAAGAACCGTACGATATGCTTTTGGTAACTTTAGGCCTGGAGTTTCCCTTTGTTCATTGCTATCTACCATTTTTTCTGCAGTATATACTACATATGAATCATACTTTCTTGGTAAGTGGAATGGAGTACCTAGATTTATGGAACAAGTGCTGGGACCATCTCCTAGACTCAAGGGTATATTTGACCCCTCATTTGAGGAATGAATCAAGGGCTAAGATTCTGGAACGTACAAACAGGGTGCGTCCTCTGCACCAAACAGACCAATTCTTTTACCCCCTTCATTAGACATTACAAGTTTCTCTGTATGGGCTGACTTTTGACTCCCGAGTCTACGACGGAAAAAAGGAAAGTCTGCCACTGTCATAGTACAAATCCAACTATCCATTCAATACCAAAATATATATGCCAGATGGGCTATTAACCGGATAGTCACGCAATGCAGTAACCCTAGTGAGCATGGGCACCGGCCACGAATTCATGCTACAATTCAATGGATATGGTTTGAGGTTGAGAGAGCTACACCATCAGAGAAAAGGATAGATCAAATAGGAATGTTTTGACTTGGGTCACTTGGCCGGTTACTGAAATTTGTTCTTTTCTCTTTCCGTCCCGTGTCCTCTTCTATGTCTAACAGACGAGCGAAAGAAAACATGAACATCGAAGATCTAATGGGAGAGATAGAAAGATGCACCTTTTTCTATATTATGCTAAAAGCTTCCGGCAGCTCTGCTGTAGTAGAACTCTGTGGACCGTTTTTGGACAGAGCGTGCTCAAGCGGCTATCTAAATTATAAAAATCTGATTTCTCCTTAGTCTTTGGTACGTGTGTCAAATCCCCCCACCGTTGAGGCTTTAATGTTGGGTGCAGAGGGCGCTAAGCCTGGGTCCACATCTGAACATTAAGCTCTATACGTACTCCGTAGCGCTGTGTAGTAGGTAGCTCTAGGTGTAGACTATGAAAATTAGCATACAGATTAACCTTGAGTGTAAAAAAAAAAACAAAAATAAAAAAAAAAAGACTAATTAGGTAACATCAATAGTGTAACTCAGGGTTCTCAGGCAACCCCATACTACTACCCACTAGTAGTACTATATCGAAATACATGTTTAGCTTTGAGCATGAATTGAATTGAAATCGAGCTTCAGGTGGTGACGTCATTGTGATGCGTTGCCGCGGTGCCGAGTGGAGAGAAGGCACAGCTCACCGAATACTGTCTAGTTTTATACCGCTTCGTACGAACGAGTACTCCGTATTGACTGGCCCTTATGGAAGTGTCTGCGATTCTAGGTTGATGTCGAGTTTTAGCTCGAGACCCAACGTCCATGATAGGGCGCCCGTTGACTCCATCGTTACCGCATCGTACATACGACGAACCTCATCGCGCCGATCGCTTCTCGACCTCAACAGGTGGTGTGTTAAGGTTTGACGATCTTTTCGTTCTTTTCTTGATCTTGCAAGGGGAGTTACTACTAGTACTAGTACTGTGGAAAGGAGACTCCTGCGTCCTGCAGTTCTTCGTCATCACCGGATGACCTCATCCATCTCTAGCACTCAAAGGGGGACCCCGAGATGGCCTCAGGGACCAGGCATCGAGAGCTTTGTCCAAGGATTGAACGGGTTTTAGGTGGCTTTCTTAAGGTAGCAAATCCGTACCTGTTAAATCAATCAAAATTGAATAAAATCCAATGAAGTCCAGCAGCCACGACACCGTGACGTCAATTGTTACAATTCCGCCTGACGGACTCTTCTTGCTTGTGAAATCCCCCCCTGCGACCTGCTTTTCCAGCTTGATATATAAGAATCCATTCCCACCCTCGATCCACTGCTCGTTGTAGAAAATTTCCCATTGTGTTGCATTCCAGTCAAAACACCCAAACCCTAACCTAATCCGTTTGCGTCCTTCATTCCCCGTGATACCCCCAGCGACGACGTGACGTACTGTTTCTCCCTTGTAATCTATTTTTCTCTCGACTCACACTGGGCTTGACTGTTTCGGTGTCGGTGACACGTTTGACGTCTCCCTGCAGTCCCTTCATATCTAATCATTAATCTTTCTTACGTTGTTAATACTCCTCTCCACCTCGTGAGCACCGGGAGACAACAAAGCCTACATCATGTCTTCCCGGCTGGTCAATCGCCCGATCGATACGAAACAGAGGGACAAAGTGGGTTGATGGCGCATTCTGTCCGGGGAAGAAAGTTCCATGCTAACCCGAATCACTCGTCTGTAGGATATCAACCAGAAGCTGCAGCTATATGGGATATACCAAGGTAAACCGCCTCATGTCTAGAAGAGGTAGTCACATCCCGACCAAGTCACTGACACTGTTTCACAGCGTTCAAGAATGGCAAACTTCCATCGGTGAGTTCCAAGACACCACGATATAGCACGGTCCCATCGGCATCAGCCCGACGGCTAACGTGCGACTCGTGCTGCAGAACAAGCAATGCGATGTTGCTCTAAACAGCGCACTCAAGTCCAAAGCTCTCTCATCACCATCAAAGGAGTTGTCTGAAGAAGGACAAGCCCTTCTTGAAGACGTTCGCGATGTAATTGAGCAGGCGAAGCGACTCATTCTTAGCAAGAATGACGGTCAATTGATTCAAGAGTTCATCTGGGAGGCCCAGAGCCTCACTGGTGAACATGTCGGAGAGAAGCCAGATGTTCCTTGGAGTAGGGAATCGGCCCAGCAGGATGGTAGGGAGGCTCTGGAAGGCTTGAAGACCCTTGGAAACCTCCTGATCACCAATGGAGAGTTTAGAAAGCTCTGTACGTATTCTCTAGACCTTTGAAACTGCTGTGGTATTGACATGTGAAAGTGAACGATGCCTGGATCCTTGTCCGCGATATTGCTGGCGATGCTTCGCAGAAAGCCGCCAACCAGGTCCGGCCGTCAGAGGAACAACTGGCACAAGTTGACCAGCCTGCCGAGGACAATACCTGGCATGAGAAGCCTGACTATGCCAAACACAAGGAGCAATTTACTTCTCGTTTCAGGAAGAACAGGGCCACTGTAAGTTTTGGTCTTTGCGTGCGAGGATTATTACGAGCAATATTGACAATTGAAAGGCCGAGCAACAAGCGAATGAAGTCGCCGACACTGCAGTCCAGGCTGCAACTAGTGACCAGCGGCAGGACTCTGCTGTGGAAGTTGATGGCCGTACTGGCGCCGCCGTAGCTGCTGAACAGACCAAGGAAAAGCTTTCCGAGAACATCCCCGAAGAGCAGAAGTCCCGTGCCCGTGACCTCGCCGGAAAGACAAAGAGCTACCTGTCGAGGAAGATGCCCAAGGAACGCCGCGAGCAAGCTATCTGGCGCTTGAAGAAGATGATCATTGAGATCCAGGGCCGTGCCGACTGTGAGTTACCCAGATTGAATAAACGAACACCAAGCTCGGTGACGAAATGGCAAACTAATGAGTCTCGTTTAGACCAACGGGCCATCGAAACCTTGCTGTCTCTCGCGGAGAAGTATGGCAGTACTACTAGGGATGTAACCCAACAGGGTGCTGGAACTGTTAGGGGCACCCGTGGCACTGATAAGATCAGCAAAATGGAGAAGAGCCTACGGGTATGTTCCTTTGAGACGCAAGCACTCCGCCAGTTACTGAATTTCTGTCACAGGTCCTGATCGAGCGATTCGCCAACAGCACGTCCTTGGACGATCTCTTTGACTCGCTAGAGAATATCTATCGGGATGCGGACAGAGATCCTGAGCTCAAGGGATGGTTCAAGAACATGGACACATTCATCCGGTATGTCTTTGCCTGATGATTATTTCATAAGACTTCGCTAATAGAAACAGGAAATCTCTCCAGGAACAAGGCTACATTATGCAGGAGGACTGGGACCGCCATTATGATCAGCTGTCCGACCACGGCCGATACTTGTTGCGCGAACGCTACAGGGACCATACAGACCGCATTCTTGACGAAGTCAAGTTTATTGGCGAGCAGTTCGCCCACGATCCTCAGAACAAAGCCTTCGGAGAAGCGGTTGAGAGGCTGTTCACCGACCTCGGCCGAGACTCAAGCGGTAACGTCTCTTTCAAGCCACACCTTCTTACGGATCTTCGGGATGTCATTTTGCCTGGCATCTTTGAGAATGTCCGCTACGTTCCTATCCCTCGAATTGAGGTGTCGGACCCCATGGCTGATGTGGTAAGTTTACCCCTGTCGAAGTAAGCTCTGGTTCAGCTTATAACCTCTTTTAGGTCGTTGAAAACCTTGTCGTCGAGAGTGATAATTTGATGCCGAATGTTGTCGAGTTCGGCAGTGACAACTACCTCCGTTGGGGACGGAAGAAGATCAGCAGTAAGAGAGACAATAAGATCATGATCTCTGTTTCTGGAATTCAGGCCGACTTGCGAGGTAAGTTTGACTCGACTTGCACAACTCCAAACTCATGCTAACTCTTAACTTTCCAGATGTCAGTTACTACATCAACAAGAAACAGGGATTCCCTGCCATCACAGATGAAGGGGTTATGGATATCTTCTTGGGCGGAGATGGCTTTGGCTTCAAAATCACAGCTTCCAATGCCCATAAGGAAGACCGCCAAAACTTCGTGAAGTTGGACAAAGTGTCCGTGAAGATCGACTCCTTCAACATCAAATTGAAGAAGTC